CTCGCTACTTCGCATGCAACCAAAGCTCGCAAAACGCTGAGCTTTGCAATCGAAGTCTCCCCCACCAAGGCAAAGATGGCCACGTCAGCCCCAATCACCTTCCAGCGCCGYTCCTACTCAGCAGCGGCGGCTAAMGTAAGGAATGCAGAAAAAAACTCACAGTCGAATGGAGCCTTGATAGATCACGAAACCCTTCGCTTTTTATTGGAATCTCCACAAATCAAAGGGGAAAAAATAACAAAGAAGGTCCAGCAAGACGGTGAAGAAAAGGAAATCACAGTATGGTGCTATCCAAAAGAAAAAATCGACTCCACAAAYGCCATGTACGCAAAACACGGACTAGTCTTCACCTTTTCCAACACAGGGGCCCRCCTCCCGRAAATCGAGAAACGCAAGTGGATSACAAGGACAGTACAGGGACACGAAAACCTGAGATCCAGCAACGACAAATTCTCTATTCTGGTTCTCAGCAGAAATATGATGATGGTGGTTTTCAAAGATGCCGATCAGGCGGCCAATCTGATCAGCAAACACACCACACTAAACTGCAATGGGTCAGTGTGCTCCCTCTCCCGCTGGAAACAGGAGACAGCCCAGAAAGCTATGATCTCCCCGGCGTCCGCACAAAAACAACGACTCATGAGGGACCAATTCTAGGTCCAGTTTGATAACATACCAATTAGAGGGCACCCACTCATCAAGGACAGGCTGGAAGTGGAATACCCAAACAACAAAGTGTTGGAATGGGTATTGCCAACTCCAGAATTCTTGGCCCCACACTGCGACTCCATCACAGCTGTTTTGGAAGTGAACACGGACACGAACCCCGAATTCCCGGAAGAATGGGAATTCTGCATAGGGGAGGAAGCATCCTCGGTCACTGTCTCGACGAAGGATGCCCCCATTTGCTTCAGATGCAGGGAGAGAGGACACCTGGGCACCGACCCAGCGTGCCCGAGATCCCCCGAACACTCCAAAGAGAAAAAACTGAGACAGAACATGCGGGTGGAAGTTGAAGAGGCAAAGGGAATCTGGTTCGTTAACGACCAGGACTACAATGGATGGGTCTTCGACGACACCATCGACGACCCGAAATGGATCTGGACATACAATACGAACCCGTCAACCAAACAGCCAGACATTTTCCCTCCCTCAGACAGCAGGTGGCATGCAGTAGGAGCAAAGAAAGTGACAGGTATTCCAGGCAAAATCCACAAAGATCAGATCATCGACCCGCGGGCAATCAGAGAAGAAAAAAAACATAAAGATCTGTTGTGGGATATGGAGACAATCAGAACCGAAACAGCAGAAGCGTGCCAGAACACCAACCTGGACAACAACACCCTGATGCTGGAAGCGAAACAGACCCTGGAACACTGCCACCCCAAATCGGAGACCCCCCCCGCACACAAGCGGACCGCCTCCCCATCCACCAAAAACTCCCAAGAGGACAGGGCAGGGAAGAAGAGAAGGGCGACAGAGGAGGGCTCAGGCAAGACTCCCGGATCTGAGCACCCTCCAACTGTCGAGACACCCCCGGGGACGGACCCGAACTCACCTGCGCTAACGGATACAGGGATGGACACCTCTTACAGCAACGCGAACATCATCCCCTGGCTTGAAGAGTACCTGCAGAAAGCAAAATATGAAAGGGAGAAGGAGTTCGACATTAGGCTGGCATGCATGAAGCACCTGGAGAAGACAGATCTGCCAGCCACTGGAAAAACAGTGGCCGGGATTCCACAGTCCAAGAACCTTTTCGACCTGTTGAGAATGAAATCTGAACTTTCAGAGTTCAGCGCGTTCAGATATTTTGAAAAAAGAGGGAGAGGGACTCTGCTGGTTCAGAAAATGGCTCAGGCTTCGACCCTCAGGCATCTGCAGATTCGATCCGCGACATGGTTTCCAAAAACTGGAAACCATCAAAGGGAAGGGACAAGAGATCAAGGGGGCCYCCAAAAGACGAAGTTGGCAGCAAGAACGAACAGCGCAGACTCACGCAGGAAATTGCAACCGTGGCAGCCCAAACAAAGAGACTGTTCGACCAGAACCAAGACTACAAGAGGGAACAAGGCAAGAAGTTTGTCACAGTCCGCATGATCGCAGAAAACAAGGTGCCCAACGTTCCCAAATCAGCAAACACTGATAGGGGAACCACCAGGGCAGTAAGACCGCTGATTCCAGTGCGGTACAGGAGCAAATTCAATGAGTAACAGGTGGCCACAGACGCAGCCTTCACAATCCTCACACTCGACGAAGACAGAGCCCTGGCTAAGAACATCAGGGACAATATCTCAGCGGAGACTTTGCTGGGCGTGTACGGGGTCCCACCACGAGAGCAGCCAGCCGAAGGAGACAAGTTGGGGGATCCGATATTTACCCGCTTCGACCCCATCTTAGTCAAGCTCGATGAGCGGGCAAAACTCAGCGAAAGCTTGACCTGGAGGGCATGGGATACAATCACAATGATGCCGTACAGCGTGTTGAACGGGAGGTTCAGCACGACCGACATCATTGTAGACTCGCTGGCAGAGATCATCAGGACCCGCCTATTGACCTCTAGGACCTCGCTGCAGGACAAGGCAACCCCCATCGACGTGGACATGCGAAGGGAAGACTCCGACATGGAGGACGAGGAGGACGGTGAGAGGGAGGAGGAAGACAAAATCTCCCCAGGGGGAGACGACGTTGTGCAGCCAACGACGTCGGGGAGCAGCGCTGGCGAGTATGGACTGAGCTCCTAAGCAGCAAGCGGAGACAGCAGGGACTCCGACACCGACAGCAGCAAGACCCAGGCAGTTGTGGACTGAATCAACAGACCATAACATAAATAAAACCCTGCCCTAGAATCTACCGATGTCACAGCAGCAAGAACCATCGAAAATCAGGCAGGGAAAAATAAAAAAATTTATACAACAATAAGAATCAATGCAGAGCGTCACAGCACTCAGAAACCGGCAATCTAGCCCAACCAGAATAAACTAGTACACTAAGGGACTTCAGATCATCAGCTGGAACATCAATGGCCTCGGAAACATTCTGACCGACGAAGACAAACTCAGAGACATCCGGACCGGCCTGGCGGGGAAGGACATCCCCAAACCAGACCTTATACTCCTCCAAGAGACACATTTATCCAACCTGAACAACCACCGAAAGATACAACAGAGGATGGAGAGAGCTGTAGGAGGATGTGCAGTCACAATGTGGTCCAACAGAGACGGCCAAAGTAATAGAGGGACAGCGATACTGATCCCCAAAGCGTCAAAAATCCTGACCGAAGGACATAGCTCCAACAGCGAGGGGGATAGAGAGGAAGGGAGATGGTCGTGGATGGACATTAAGTGGCAAGGTGAGGATCTGCGAATTCTCAACCTGTACGCACCCAACACGGAATCCAACAGACTGATCTTCTTTGAAAATATCAAACCCCTCATCCCCAACCCACAGCCAGTAATCATGGCAGGAGATTGGAACACAACCCTCGACCCGAACCTGGATCGGATCTCAAGAACGGTACTAATGGGACCCACTAAAGCGAGCACCAGGATCCGAAACCTGATGACCGAATTCGAACTCTGCGACCCGCTCAGGGCACTGCACCCGGACAAGAGAATTTTCTCCTGGATAAGGAGAAACCTAGCAAATCGGACCTCGCTGTCCAGGATTGACTACTTCCTCATATCCGAGAGCCTCCTAAGGACAGTCAAAAAGGCCGAAGTCCTCCCATCAGCAGCCTTCAAACGTTTGGACCACAAACCCATCCAGATGTTGCTCAACTTCAATGTACCTGTACAAACAGGTCAAGGTTTCTTCAAGCTAAACAACTCACTATTAAGAACCGAGAGAATGAAGACGACAGTCCAAGAACAATGGGCTATCAATAAGCAGCGAGAATCAAGGAGAATAAATAGTCACCAATGGTTCATCGATAGCTACACAGAGTTAACACAAGCAGTATCAGCTGAATCTAGAGATATTGCTAGAGACCGAAAAAGAAGAAGGGAAGAACTCCAATTCGCGATGGCCATCGCTAAAGAGAATCTGGCGGAGGACCCAGCTAGCAGCTTCTACCAAGAACTTCTAGACGACACCAAGGAGGAACTAAACGAATGGAGAAGATGGGAACTCAGAGGTTTACAAATACGGGCGAGGATGACAGACTATGCACTTAACGAGTCAATGACAAAATTCTTCTTCTCCAAAATCAAGGCGAACGCCAGGAACAGCATGATCGAGGCACTTAAAGACCCAGAGGACGCTGGGAGCACAAAAACCACAGGCCCGGAGATGGTAGGGATAGCCAGAGCCTTCTACGCAGACTTATACGAATCCAAGACCCCTTCACCCCCGACAACAGCGAACCTAGCAGCCCGCCAGGTGATGCTATCGTACCTCGACAGAACCATCTCGGACAATCAGGCGGATGGCCTGGACAGACCACTGACCGTGGCTGAACTGCACACAGCCTTGAACCAAATGGGAAATGACAAAGCCCCGGACATCGACGGCCTCTTAAAGGAATTCTGGAGCTGCTTCTGGCCAACACAGGGGAAAAACCTACTCGACTTTTTTAACGAAAGTATGCACAAAGGAGGCCTAGGTAAGGAGCTGAGTACCAGCATAGTCTCACTACTGTACAAGAAGGGAGACAAAGAAGACCTGGAAAACTACAGACCCATATCCCTACTAACCACTCCTTACAAAATCCTAGCCAAGGCGCTAGCAAACATAATCACCAAACTAACGAACAATTGCTTCCACATCGATCAAGCAGGCTTCATCCCAGGCCGTTACATATTAGACAATGTGATGACCCTGAATGAAGCAGCAAAAAAGATCACGAAGAAACGTATGAAGGCAGCAATCCTGTTCTTCGATTTCGAGAAAGCCTACGATCAAGTTAACTGGGATTTTCTCCACGCATGCATGGAAAAAATGGGGGTAGGACCGAACTTTAGAAGTTGGGTAAGAATTTTGTACGCAGATGCAACAGGTAGAGTCCAGGTCAATAGAATCCTATCCGAAACATACCCAATCTCACGGTCAGTCAGACAAGGCGACCCACTGGCTCCTCCCATTTTTCTCTTCATAATGGAAGTCATAGCCTCATTTCTCCGCAAAGACCCATCCATCGACCGCCTCACAGAACAAAACTTCAATCCGTTACACGACTTCGCCCTACCCACGACTCTCATGTTCGCTGACGACCTTACGATACTCATTAGAGCAAATAACAGCTCCTTCCAATCACTGGTAAAGGCGATGGAAGCATTCAGACTGGCTTCAGAAATGAGGGTAAACTGGAATAAAACTGAAGGCTGGTGGTTAGCAGACGGCACCCCTCCCCAACCGTCGGACACAACCACACCTATGAATTGGACCACGAGAGAACAAGCACTACGGTTCCTGGGCATCATGGTCAACAAAGAAGGGGTGTGGTCGGGAATGGGCCAGAATCTGATAGCAAGAGCAATCACCCGCCTGGCCCTGTGCAAAAATGCGCAGGCCTCACTAATCGGACGGGCACTACTCGTCAACACAGCGATTTTCTCTACACTGTGGTACATGGCATCAATCTGATTCCCCCCCAACGACGACCTCAAGGAGCTCAAGAACAGGGTGAGGTGCTATTTGTGGACAGGTGACCCCAACAGGACCACCTGCATCAACAGGGTCGCATGGAGTCACATTACTAGGAAGCCACAGGAAGGGGGCCTTGGGATAATCGACCCAAAACAGGAATCCATAGCACTACAGATGAAATGGGTGATCAAGATTCTCACCAGACAGTTCCATCCATGGACTCAAATGGCGTTAGACAGCATCAAAAACTTAGCTCCCATCAACTCCCCTAGAAACATGAACGGCCTGTTCTGGATCATGGCAAAGGAATGGACAATCAAATCCGGCAGAACACGCAAAAGAAACCCCACACAGCACATCCCTGCACAGGCCAACACAAACACAACGCAGACAGGCAGCAACTATTGGCGCCCCACTATCAAAGCATGGCGCAAAATGATGCCGAGCAAACACGGAACACCTGGTAACAGAGAAGAAGTCTTGAGACAGCCGCTTTCTGCAACCCCTAGATCACAGACCCCAGTGGAAAAATCTGGACCCTGCACTCTCGGGACCGGAGGTGGCTATCGCGGGTAGAAAGAGGAGTATGGCAGGTCAAGCACATCTGGGTAGAAGACCAAGGACGATGGGCGACGGATCAGGAACTATGAACCACACTAAAAGGATGCCATGCCCTCACCGATAACTTAACAATGATCATAAATAGCATCCCACCACATTGGATCCCCCTCCTAAGAGAGGAATTTTCGTGGAAGTCCGGGGATTGGGGCATACCAGTCTCCCAAACCCAGCCTACCAGAGCATACAGATTCGCCACTAGAACGAACCCACCCGGCTACCTATCTAAGTTCTACTCCTACCCAGTAGTTAATCACAGCACAAACGAATTGGAAATCCAAAATAACGAACCACGGAGCGAGCTGCTGGAGACGTTCCGTCTGAGAAAAGTGAGGGTATCAAAGTCCAAACGTTGGAAAATCTTCCGACCGGACCTCTGCATTTCAGAGCTAGAATTCGACCCGAAAGAATGGATATGGAAATAGGGGAGCTCAGGGAAGATGAGAACATTAGCAGAAGACGATGTCAAATTCGGCTATGATCTAGGCCTACAGACCTCAGACCCAGACCCCAGACTTAAAAGCAAATGGCGGGAAACACTGAGTCTAGACCCCTCGACCCCCATAACCATTCCGTGGACTAAATTCCTAACCATTAGACCGGTCAGGATTCGAAGCATGCAATGGCTCCTAGCTCACGCCTCCCTGCCAACCAATCCGTGGCTCCACAAGAGAAGAAAACACACAGACCCCGACAGTACTGAAATATGCAGACTGTGCACGGACAACACCGAGGAGGACACACTTCACTGCCTCTTATACTGCCCAGAGGCAGCATGGTTCTGGAACAAAGTGCGCATTCTATGGACCTTTCTCTTTTCATCACCCCCCCCGGCCACAACCCCCCTGCACATCCTGGTCCTATCTAACGACACTAACAATCTCAGTGGTGGCAAGGAAGTGTGGTTCCACCTTCTCAGAAAGTTGGCGCTGTGGGTAATTTGGAAGAGGAGATGCTCCAAGACGATCGAAGGAACAGAGGTGCCTAGAGAGGAAATGTGGGTTTTGCTGCTAAAAATGGCGGAAACAGAGATTCGATCCAGATGGCGAGAAATATCCTTGRCGAAGAAAGGCAGACCTGAAAGGACAGCCACAAGGAGACGYAAATTCACAAGAGACTGGCTTCTACAGGGAAAGATCGCTACATTGGTGGACAACAGATTGGTGTGGAAGAAGTGGCATAACACAAGGACAGGGTCTTTTTGATRAATCAAMTGAGATTTTAATCYCAACAGCCTAGACATCTCTCCCCTTTTCTTGCTTTATATGTAGCATCTGGCAGAGTCAGCATAGACTCTGAGAGGAAAAGAGGTAGGGCAAGCTGACAGTCAATCCTCCTGACAAGGAGTAATCAATGCTGKTCAGGGTTCCTTCGGCCATACGGAAGGAAGCGTGTGAGTGTTCACCATGTATTTCATTCTTGACTTGCCGGTGGAAAGGAACCGGACTGACGCTCCCCAGAATGGATATGGAGCCAGGACCATAAGGACCTGTTTAAAAAATAAAAAAAGAAAAAAAGAAAAAAAAGAAAAAAAAGAAAAGAAAAGAAAGAAAGAAAGAAAGAAAGAAAGAAAGAAAAGAAAAGAAAAGAAAAGAAAAGAAAAAAAGAGTAAAGATTATTGGCTA